GTTTCAGAGTAATGCAGTTTTCATGACAGTCAGGTGTATATAAAAATGTTACAGAACGGTTTGTTTATATGGTAAAATCTCCTTTCCCGGGGTGGAAATGCTCTGAGGTTAAAAGCACTGGCTGCTCATCCAGAGGACCCAAGTTCAAATCCTAGCACCCACATGGCAGCTTACAACTGTCTATAACTCCATCCCAAGGGATCTGATAGCACCGAGGGGACCAGGCAAATGCATGACGCTCACACATATATGCAGGCAAAACACCCTGTACATGAACTAAAAATACTTTTCTAAATTTCCTTTCCTTTTCTTCCCCAGCTACACCAGGAGTTGTGTATCAGGGTCCCTGTGACTACATGAGGATCCATGGTCTCATAGGCACAGGAAAGGTCTAGCAAACCCCGACCAGGCGGCAATGAGATCTCCTTGTGGGTAGGAAACCTTCACCATTTTATTTACTTGGCACTGCTATGTGTTTTGCAATGAACATGTCCCAGTTGTGCAACGTGCAAACAGTGGAGCAAGAAATAATAACACTGTCCTTTACTGAGTATGCAATACAAGCTAGACACTGGCTTAGGTCCTTTATGCCTACCACAGCATCTCAGCTTCCTTCCTCATGGCTCTGTGATACAGGACTGTGATTATAGTACTGGGCAAAGGGACTGAGGCTAAAAGACACCACATAGCTGTTAAGTGGCAGAGCCAGCATCAGAATGCAAGACCCAACATGAAGCTGTGTGCTCATGTACTCCAGGAGTCATTTCTTTTTTTTTTTTTTTTTTTTTTTTTTTGCCAGTGCTCCACAGAAAAGGGGCTGTGACCAGTCACAGGGATGGCACCAATTTATCCCGAGCCCTTTCAAAGTGGAGAAAATGTTGACCAGGCTGCTGACTCTGCTAAAGCTCCCTTCGAAGGTCCTATCTCCTGGCCCCTCCCCCTTTCCTCCATCCTCACCATTCTTGGCAATGATCTCTCCATGTGTGAATTCCATTAAAGGCCAGCTCATTGCTATTTCGGGCTGTGCATTAGCACGAGGACTTTGATTTGATGGGAAAAAGCCAGACACCTCAAAGTGATGAAAAACAAATTTCAATATCCTTCCCTCACCATTGTCCCAGAAGCCCTAGCCCATGGCTCCTGGGAGGCCAGAGCATCCAATGGCTGGGGAGATAGAAGGAAGTGAGACAGGGCTGCAGAAATCCTTACCACCTACAGGACCTCTGAACTTGACCATTCCCTTCTTGAAACCATCCCCCTCCTTCAGGTCTCCACTCAGACTCCCCAAGGTCATTCCTGAATACAGTTCATCAACATCTGCTCCCTCCACCCTGCTCTTCCTGAGCCCACAGTGTTTTGCTTCCTGTATACAGTTCTTATCATCTGATACACTGTACACGAACCGTTCACTTACTGTTTTCCCTCCACTATAACAAGAGTTCCATCCTGGCAGAACTTTACCCCACAGTTCAAGTGCCCAGCACCTACACATTTCACAGAGCAACAGAGCATCACAGGTGACAACAGATGGAAAGATCGAAGGATTCTACCAGGATGGTAAAGGAGAGGAGCTTGGGAAGTTCCTGAGCACAGGGCCTAGATTCCCTAGATACCACCACAAGAAAGAAAATGTTAACACAGTAACTTGAAAACTCAAGGGGAAAAAATCCATCTCCTCGCGGGCGGCAGAGCTGTTTTGAGTCTGGGCTTGCCGGCACTATGAATGAGAGGGCTAGGGGAAATAAACACACCAGGAAGTTGTGTGCAGTTGGAGTCGATTCAGCTCAGTAACATGTGTGCAAAAACAAAAAGCCCAATTTGGATGAAAATAGCAGGAAGTCCATCCCCAGGGACACCTGGTGAGGTCATGCACCTTGGCTCTGTTGCTTCCATTCTGGTCAAGTCTCCAGCCTCCAGAACTCACGCAGGCCAGGAACCATATCTAGACCCACACCCAGGCTTACTGGGAGTTGCTGGCCAGGCACATACAACAGGGTGCACCTGTGAGAAATCCCTAGCACTTCAGTAGGGGCATTAAAAACCACAACAGGGCCTGCTCTGTAAAATGTTGCCTTCCAAAATTCAATCCTAGAACCCCTAGAAGCCAGGCATGGTAACAGGTGCTTGTAATCCTAGAGATAAGGGGAGCCAAGCTAGAAATAAGAGAGTCTGTCAGACTGCAGTGAACCCCAGGCCAACGAGAGATCTTGTTTCAAAATAAGGTAGGAAGCATTCCTGAGGAGTGACACCTGAGGAAATCAATTCCCTGACCTGAGCACAGGCTCGTGAACATGGACACACACACACAAACACACACACACAACTTAAATTAAAAATTAATTTTTAAAAAGATAACCATATCTGACCATTCCATGTGCTCAAAATTATATGCTTTGACCACTCCATCCATTCCTTACAACCAAGCCCATGAGATGGCCATTGCTACCCTCCTCTCAGATTTCAGCAGCTTGTCCTGGGTCACAGGTTACAACTCCAGATCTAAGCCAGTGGCACAACTTTCTTCCACTCACCATCCTCATACACTTGCTGAGTGACTTTAGGCCAGCCGCCTCTCCCTTTCTGAGCTGAAGTTTCTGTCCCTGTGCATGAAACTACAGCATTCCGTAGTCTCTGAGACATCTTCCTCTTCTAATTTCTTGAGATCTTCTGCAGAAGCTCCAACATAGAAGGAAAAGACAAGGACCGAGGGTCCCTGCTTGGCTGACCCAGCTAAGGATCTGCTCCTTACCACATCATCAGTTCAGCTGGCCAGAGGAAGGTTAAGCATAACAAGTTCCGTTGGGGGGGGGGGTGGGAAACAAGACAGACACAGGTGGCTTAAGGAGTACTGAAACAGCTATTAGCAGAGCCAGTGAGGCACCATAGCCCATCCCTGAGAAAGGCGGAACACAGGCTAGTCCTCCCTGGATCTTTGCTTGTAAAATCATAGCATCAAAGAGCATCCCTGAGCAATGATATGCTTCCCTCTCCAGGCACCCAGCCAGAGCCAGCCAGATCAGCCCAGGGTGTAGAAGGAAAGAAACATTCTGACAAACCAGTAAAAGGCTGATTTGGCTCAGGGGAAAGGAGCCAACATGGCGGTGATCTTCTTGGTGTGCTGAAAGTCAGTGTCCCAAAGGCAGAGGGAAGAAGGGGACAGAGTGAGCCCTGGGTTATGTAGCAATTTCCTCCATGATAAAGCCCAGATCTTTAAGATATAAGGTGCTTGCTTTGAAGCAGTGGTTCTCAACCTGTAAGTCATGACCCCTTTGAGGGGTCACATAACAGATATCCTGCATATCAGACATTTATATTATAACTCATAACAGTAGCAAAATTATGGGTAAGAAGTACCAATGAAATAATTTTATGGTTGGGGGTCCACAACATAAAGAACTCTATTAGACACAGCACTAGGAAGTTGAAAACCACTACTCTAGAAGGAGTAAAAATATTCGTTCATTTAACTCAGGAAGTAAACAAGGCAAGGCTTCAAGGAAGTCCCTGAAAATAACCAGAATCACTAAGTCCCTTGTTCTCAACTGTATAGAAGCAGTTTATAAGCAACTGTATATAAATTATATAAGGACTACCTCCCTCCCCAAGGCTCAGCCCAGCCACCTGAGCTGCTTGCAAGCCATGCTGTGAGCTCCAGGCTTTCTGGCATTCGTCAGCCACTACCCATGTTGGGCAGGCCTTGGTGAGACTGCTATCTTTTGAGTCACTTCTGTGTCTGTAGGTAACCCCTCGTCCCCATTACTGTAAGTAACCCTAGTAAAAATTACTGGTTCACAAAGTTGGGCTTTGGCGGCATCCTTACTTTGGTCTATCATTGGTAAACAGATGTTTGTTCACAAGTCCCCAAGAGTAGTGTCACAAAACACCCTGTCCCTATACCAGTGAATGTTGTTGCCCTGTCACCACACTGGGGACTCCACTGATCCTTTTCTCTAAGTGTCCAAAGAGCCCAAATTTGGAATAAATGCTTCTTCACCCTTTCCACCCAAGCCGAGTAGCCATTCCCACCCTTTTGGATGGGGAAGGCTTTGCTCTAGCCCTTTCTTGGCAGCCAGACTTTCATTACTCATCAGCTCCCAGGGTGTCTCAGAGGCTGCCAAGAGCAGACAGGCAGCTCTCCAAGCCAAGCATCCTTATCTCCAGCATCTATGTGGACATTGAAAGTGGGACCATTGGTGGGGAAATTATAAGGCCTTCAGAGTCCTGGTCAAGTTCGCAAAATTCTAGGAGGCCAGGTGGACAGGGGCTGAAGAAAGAATGGGCAGTCAGTCAATGCACACAGCCAGGCAGTGTCGCCTATTCATCCCCTCCATCCATGAATCGAGACAGTTATGCCGGAAGGCAAATCAATGCAGAGATATTTCTGAACTAGGCCACCGCCCAGCATGAATGAGGTTAGGGAAAAGCTGGACCCGTGGAAGCCAGGAGGCTTCAGGCAATGCACTTCTCAGCAGAATCTTGGGTAGATGAAAGAATCAGGGTCAGAGGCGCCAAATCCCTGCCCAGCCTGCTATTTCTCCCTGCCTCCTGCTAATCGCCTTCTCTTCCTGCTATACACTGGAGCTAAGACAGCAGCTGCTTCCAGTCCCTTCTTACCCTTAGTCTCTCTCTCTCTCTCTCTCTCTCTCTCTCTCTCTCTCTCTCTCTCTCTCTCTCTCTCTCTCTTCTCTCTCTCTCTCTCTCTCTCTCTCTCTCTCTCTCACACACACACACACACACACACACACACACACGCCAGCAATCAACTCCAAGAAGCACCGGAAACGCAGCCTAAGGAAATCCAAGCAGGATGTGAAGCAGCCCAGCCATCTCCCAGCGGTCAAGAGACCAAGGAAGAGCTCTGTCTTGGCAGGGTGCCCCACAAAGGGACCAAGAATGATCTCTAAACTTCTTCCTTTCCAGCTGTGACAGCTACATCAGACTGGCATTGAAGGTGAGGTAAGTGGTTTGTGTCAGACAAAAGAAGGGAGAAAGCCACTTACTCATTTTTCTCCAGGTCCAGGATCAGCTCTTGCCCTTCAGCCATGACCCTGAGCTCTGCTGTGAGTGGATGCTAAAAACAACAATAAAAGGATGTCAGTTCCTGGAAGCAGGGACTGAGGCTCCCAGGGCCCGGCACCGGATCTGACACAGTGCCAGCACATGGATCCTCCGGAAGCCAGCGAGGAAAGGTCATTAGCCTTTCCAGCCCAAGCTTGAAGTGACCTCAGTCCCACAACAACCCAAATCTTCCCCATCTGCTTTCCCCCAAGCTAAGAGGAGAAACTCTGGCTGAGGCTCAAGGCTGAGCAGGTGCATGCAATCTTGTGAAGGGTCACACAGGGAGACCTGATCCTTAGAAGTAAATTACCTGGACAGTCAGACCCAGGGTTGATGTACAGGTTGACATCTGTGGTCGTGTGAACCTGGACATATTACTGTGTATGTGTATACTATATTTGAGTGCATGAGTGTGTGTGTGTCTGTGTGTGTGTGTGTGAGTGTGTGTGTGTGTCCGGGATGAAACCCAGGACCTCAAGCAAACGTGCTATGAACTGAGACACATCCACAGCCCAGTCACAGTCCCTTTCTTAATTCCTGCTTCTCATGTTCCAGACTGGGATCTAGGCTTTAGACTTAAAGACCAGCAAGGCCTTTGATGATCAAATACCTTGTATAATGCCTAAATAATCCTGTTGCCTCATCTTACAAAGGGTTTGAAGGCAGGAAGCAGGGAGACAGATGGGTGCCCAGGCGCTTACACTGGAGACTCACTTCCCAGATTCTGAGGTGCCGACTCAGCACATAGCCAGTGCCCACTGTGATTGCCGCCCGTTTGCCCTGGGGACTTCTGGAGTAAGAGCCCTATCCAGTCACCCTGAGAATCCAGGACACACAGCCCCAGTGGGCATTTGAATACATGACAACAGAACTCCAGCAAGTCCTTATACACGGGGCAGGCACTCACGTGACAGCCCACAGAAAAACAAAAAGGTTGGTACAGTGCAAGTGATACCATGTGCCCCACACAGAGACACAACCTGCTACATGAGAACTAATATTTATTTTTACGTAGGTGATCCAAAAATACTTCTCTCTTTCTGGAGGGTGCTCAGACAGGAGGCTGAAAATCAGATGTTCCCTGTTTCCAGGGAACAGTTCAAGCAAAACAATGAAATTGCATTTCACAGTTCTGTGAAGCTTGCCCATCCAGCTCTACGACAGTTTTCTTCCTGGAACTCCAAAACTGCCTGAAAGGGACAATATCACCACTCCTGGGAAGCCTTGGAAGGTGCCCACTGTTTGTGCTTTTCTAAAGAAGGACCTAAAGTCCTTTCTGCTTAGAGCAAAATTAAACAGACCACTAGCTCCGCGCCATCTGAGAAGCCTATCCTGTGCATATGCATCATCCTACAACATCTGGATCAGAGTCCATAAACAGTCTAATAAGTGATGTCTAATAAGTCAAGAGAATTCCCCAAATACAAGTAAGAATCATAGTAAACTAATCCACACTCTCTCTTCTGTCTGTCTGTCTCTCTCTCTGTCTCTGTCTCTCTCTCCCTCTCTCTCATTCAACAAATATTTATGGTGCCTGGCACTGGGCTGACTACTACCCCTGCAAAATACAATGAGCCACACTCTGGGCAGACAATGGCTGGGAACAAAGACAGGATCTGGTCCTCCACTTTGTTTCTCAGGTTCTTCCTGAGGATGCCCAGCATCCAACATCTGGAGGGAACAAAGGAGCCTCTATAAAAAGTATCATATCCATTCTTCAGCAATAATAGTGAGGGGTGAAATATCCAAAACCTTAAATTTAAAAAGAACAATCTGCCTGAGGATGGATATCTATTAATTTTCTAATGTTTCCTGGGGCTATTTTCAGACTTTCCTACTTTAGGATGGAATGAGTTCATGCATTTTTTTTTTTCTTTGCTTTTAGGGTAAAAATGTTCCCTTCTTTTATTGTCCTAAAATTTATCTGTAAGTCCCCTTACTGTACCCAAGCCGGTGACATGACTAGGGACATGTCTGTGTGACTGTCTGTAGACTTCCGGGCATTTCTCATCTGTTTATCTTTCCAGATTCCAAGGCCACAATTGTCTGAAGTCTTTCCTAACACTTCTTTCCCCAGCTTTAATCTGGCTCCTATCTGTTGCCCAATGAATTACAGGCCATTTGGCCCCCTCAGAGATCACAGAAACTAACCCTTCAAACTGGGCATGGTAGTGTATTGCTATAACCCTTGCACTGTGAAGGTGAAGTAAGAGGGCCAGAGTAGGACATGCATGTAGCAAGACCCTGCCGAAAAAGAAAAAGTCAGCCCTTTTCTACTCTGTTCCTCTTTATTCCCACTAACACTGATTTCATAAATGAGGAAGTATAAGTCATCTTCCAAAGCAGAAGGCCCTGGAACAGGCTACTGTCACGAAACAATCAGATTTCCCTTTCTTGTCATTCCTAACTCAGTTATTCAGAACAGAACCAAGAACACTGACTGTTCTCAGCCATATTCTAATTGCCTTGATAACACCTGTGCATTTTGCTAGTGTTCTGGTTCAATGAGCCTGTAGGATTTTTAAAGATATATAATCTAATGTGAGCTCCCTATCCTGCCTCTTAATAAATTAGCTGCAAAGTGGCATGCACCTGTAATCTCAGCATTGGAGAAATGGAGGTGGGAAGGCTGGAAATCCAGGTTGTAAGCTACAATGGAGACTGTCTCAAAAGAGAACTGGCCAAGGCATGGTGACACTCTGGTGTATGCCCATAATCCTAGAACCAGGAGACAGAAGCAGGAGTTCGAAGTCATTCTCGGCTACATGGCTACACCATGAGTTAGAAGGTAACCTGGGCTACAGAAGATCCCACCTCAGAAAACAAAAAGACAAAAGTAAACAAAAGTTCCAATCAAGATCTGTGACAAAATCACATTTGCACTTAATCTGTGTCAGTATTTTTTAAAGGTGTGTTTGTGTGTGTGTGTACACACGAGCGTTTTGCCTGTATATATGTATGAGCACCGTGTGCATGCCAGGTACCCTCTCAGAGACCTGAAACCTTTGAATCTTCTGGAATTGGAGTTACAGATGGTTGTGACCCACCATGTGGGTGCTGGAACCCCAACCCCGTCCCCTACAAGAACAGAAAGTGCTCTTAACTGCTAAGCTGGTTCTCCAGCCCCAGTCTGTGTCACTATTACTGTGAATTTCCATTTCCTCAGCTAAAAGGGCTTGGGAATGGTCTATACAGGTTTGTCATACAGCAAAGGAAAGTCCCTGGTAAGATACCCCAAACTGACACAGTGAAAGGTTAGGGCCAGAAGCGGAAGCTGCAGTAATGCTTGTGGCCCCACGCCTCGGCAAGGGGACTATCTTCACTCCCCCTTCTCCATCACAGGGCCTTGGGAGGCTTACCTTTCCTTTCCCGGGGCTTTCTGAAGTCCACCACTGAGGTATCACAAGTTCATGCTGTAGCTGGGGGCTGCCTTCTTTATTTCCTCCTGCCAACACAAAATAGCATAACCCTAAGAATCCCAGACCCCCACACCCCAGGCACTCAGGAGTAGGCATACTGCTCCAGACCACTTCGAAGGCAATCCTTGCTGCCTGGAAAGTGCTCTGCCCAGGGCTATCAGAAGACCTGCTGGGATCTACTTTGCCTTGGTGACAAAGTGATAAAGCCAAGGCAAACAAGGTCTGTGTCTGTGCCAAAAGACAGGAAATGAACCGACATTCTCAGGTGATGGTTAATTGCCTTGGAGAAAAATAAGATCGTGCCAAACAGGATAAAGGGACACCTAGCAGGGGGCTTGTTTGAAACAGGATGGCCACTACTGGTGGTGTTTGATTGAGACATCAGGAACCAAAGGAAGGCAGAGATGTGTAAAAAAACAGGGGAAGAGCAAGGAGTAGCAAGTGCAGAAATGGCCTTGGTCGTGAAAAGGACCAAGCAGGAAGGGGATATACTTTAGTAAGTCAGGGGACATTGGTAAATATACCAAGCAAGGTAGGGGGATACTCTAGTTAATCAAAGGATGTTGGTAATAAATGTTCTAAGCAAGACAGCTGTTCGTGTAATGACACAAAGGCATGAAGAGGGTCTGGCTATGATTATAAATAGACTCGGAAAGTTCTGGATGTCTTCAAACACAAGAGTAATAGGTTCTGTATTAGTTTTGTTTTGTTTTCAAAGATAATGGTGGGTGGAGAGTGGGGGAGGGGAATAGGGCTAGAGTAGAAGCCAGGCAACAAGGCTGGCTGGAGAAACAGGAGCCCTCCTGAGAGACGACGATGGCTCCCACTTGAATAGCATCGTGGGGAGTGATGAAGTGGCAAAATTCTGAGTATAATCAGAAGGTTGAGCTCACACTGGTTACCACTGAGCTTTAATTTTCTCTTTGGAGATGATGGTCACCTCCCTGGGAGGTCTTACAGGGCCACAGGTAAGAGGAAAGGTGACATGAAGCCCCTCCCCTTCCCCCGCCCCTGCAAACCATTAGTATTAACTTGCAAATCATTAACCTTAACCATCTTGCTGGCAAGTTCACAGCTGCATTTATTTCACTCCCAAATCTTCTCCAAATCTTCTCACACCCCGTTCTCCCTTCTCACCACCCTTGGAGGTAGCCAGTGAGTTCCCAAGAAAAGAGGTAGGAACCACAAGAGAGACATGTTCAAGGACTTGGAGATGTCAGCACTAGTCACATACCATCTTTTATAAAATTGAGAATTTCCTGGATCCTAAGCAAATGAAGTCTCTGAAACAGGGTAAATGCAAAGACTCCCAGGGATGTAGCTGAGCACGCCAATGTTCTGTTCCTTCTAGTCCAACCACATCAATCACATGAGTGATATAAAAGATGGCTGTGCTGGACATTATGGCACACAGCTGTAATCCCAACAAGAGGCAATCCTTGGCTATGAGTTGGAAGACCGCCTAGAGCTACACAGCATCCTGTCTCAGGGAAGTAACTTTAAAGGTGGCTGGCTGGAGTGGTGGGACTACCATTGATTAAATTTCTTTTCAAATGACTAATGTGATGTGTTTGTAATCAAAATACATCCAAACAAAAACAAAAAAACCTCACTGGTTTCACTTACACTGGTACAAATCAGAAGGGATGATATACTCACATATTTATTCAGTACATCCTATGCTTGGTGCTTAATGTTCATGGGAGAACAATTCGGCATAGTTCCTGCTATAGTGACTGATAAATCTACTCAAACAAAAGGAATGGTGTGGTGTCTAGGAGAATGTCTAAAGGTCTCAGGATCATGAAAAGTGCTGAACACAATGTCAAGTCTAAACAAAAACAGTGCAGTTTAAGACTGTGAAGAATGGTTCACAGGTTGGAAATAAGGCAAGACACACGTGGGATCGTCTTTCCCATCAAATCTGAAGCACTGTTTAACAAGAGGATGGGCGACTTGCCTAAGAGAAGGTTATCTACGGCTTCATTTGCTTTTGATGGAAGGAAGGCCTGTACTCAGTGAAGTCTAACATTAACTGTGGATCTGTGATTGACATAGATGCAGGTGAATTCAGGATGGTGGAGAGATAAGTAACAATTGCGTGGTTCTCTGTCTCAACCAAGGGACTATACCACATCAATCCCCTTATCGATAGGGCCTGGCTAATGATTTTTTAACCAGCTTTAATCAGCCTCTAACACCTCACAGAACAAGTCCTAGGGGGAGAAAAATCTTTGTTGCATTTGTACGAGAGAGGCAGAAGTTTAACTTTGGGGGAAATTATATTTCTGTGGTCTCTTGGTAGAACGTACAGTCACTAAAGTCATAGTTTTGGAAGATGTCATGATTTGGAAAGTACCTTTAAAGTGTGTGTGTGTGTGGTATGTTTCCAAATTCATCTGTATATAGTCATAGGAAGAAGGGGGAACGCAAAATATTAATAGCAATTGCTCATTCGGGGATCATAAGTCATTTTACTACTCGTAGAATTTTTTTTTTCTTCCCAGGTCTACCGCGACTGTGCCTGAATAGTCTCTGTGACTTGGGATCCAGTGAAGCTCAATTTCCTTGCCCTTCTGCTAACAAGTAGGCTGGAAAAATCAGACTAGGTACCTGGCTCCCTCTTACTCAAGGAACCCCAAGCTCCAACGAAAGGAAGACCCTCCTCCTTCCTGTGTGAAGCCCCTTGTGCCTCAGTTTCCCTTTTGGTAGAAGTTCTTTGAAAAAAGGCTTTGTCTGCGGAATGGAGCACGGGGTAGGGGATGGGGCGGACCCTTGTGTCAGGCTCTCAGGGTAGGGGCATGCAGCCTGCCCAACAGATACTCGGGTCACTAGCTTGATTTGAAAATGCTGACAGTTGGTGCAGTAAGCACCGCTCTGGAGTCAGCCCAGCCCTCCAGCTGCTACAGAGCTAAAGCTCTCCCAGGTCAGAATGACAGAAGCCAGGCATTGCCCCTCAGGGACCCTCTCTTCCGCGAAATCCTAAGAGAGCCTCTGAGCGATGGGACCCGGGGAGGGGGGGAGCGGTGTCTGGGAAAACAGTTGTGAAAAACAGACATTTTCCAAACTGGAAGCGCAGAGCCCATCCCCCTTTCTTCACAGACAGGGAAACTGAGGCCAAAAGGAGGGGGGCGTTGGTTGAAATGAAGAGACCTTGTTTCCAGTGTCAGGAGGTCTTCAACGCGGGGCGTACCTATACATATCTGCAATCTCGGTAGTGAACTTCAGCTTATGATCTTCAGGATGGGTGTGCGTGGCCCTGTGATAGTCTTGGAGTAGGGTCTCTGCCAGCGCAGGGATGCGAAGTGCACAGCCAGAGATACACAGTAAATCACCCTACTCTAATCTCTTGGAAGCCTTTGATTTTCTACCACACTAGCATGCATTTGACCCCCAGCAAGATCCCAGGGAGTGGCTCCCCCACTAATTGTGCATAGGATGCTTGGGGTGCTCCTCTGGGGATGCTCCGGGGTTGCGAGAGCAGCCCGCACAAAATAGAGATGAGAGGCGGAGCGGAGATGAGCAACCCTGAGAAAGCAGAGCAAAAACCGGAGAGCAACTGAAAGAGAAGCCCCAAGAGGAAAACAGGGGAAGGAGATGGAGAGAGGAAGGCAAGCGGTGAGAGGACCCACTGCTTTCTGATTGCTCGGGGCACGCACCAGGTCCACGACCTCCCGTGGCTCACCGCACGAGAACAAAGCCTGGGCTCCTAGGCTTGCGAGCGGCAGCACTTACGCCCCGGGGAGTGGCAGAGCCCGCAGGGATAGCGGTCACGGAGCCCCAGGCCTGCAAGAGTGACTCCCAGACCCCCAGGCCACCCACCCAAGCCACCCCAAGACCCTACTGTGCGCTGCCACTTACTTGTGGTCCACCCCGGCTCGCACGCCGCCAGCGGCCAGTGTAGCTGCAGAGCGAGAGCCAGCAAACCGAACCGGGCGGCGCCCGCGCGCCCGGGCATGATAGCAGTGGCCCTCTCACTGTCCGTGATCACACGTCCCCTGCCATTGCCTGTCCCGGGCCTAGCGGCGGCGGCGCTTTTCAACCAACCGCTGGCCCAAAAGCCTCCAAGTCCGCTGCCCAGACGCTCCGCCCACAGCCCCTCAGGGCTCAGCCTGGAGAAGGGGGAGGGGAGGCGCCAAGAGAGGGGGGGGGCGGCTGGAGGGGCAGAAGTGGGAGAAACTAGGGACAGAAGCCTCATGGAAGCTCCGCTGATTCAGGTGAAGGGCACCCAGGGAAAGGGATGTTCCGAATCCTGGAGTAATCCACCATGCTTGAGACTAGGAGAGAATACAGAGCTGGGGTTGAAAGGGTTAATCCAGACCCTTCAGCTGCACCGAGACTAGTTTACTCTGACTAGTTTACTCTGTCCTGCTTTGTGCTAAGAGCTTTGGGTGAGTGAAGCTACTCCTTTCAGAACTGCCACCCAGGGTTGGCCATTCTTGGAGGCAGGTTCTGAAAGAGTTAATTCCAAGGCAAAGAAATAAGTGCTAAAAGAGGTTGTTTTCTTATCTGGACTCCAATCTGGGCCTTTAGTCCATTCCTTCTGATTGGGAGGAGGAGTGGAGAGGAGGGGTGGGTGGTTGCCGATCCTGCATCCCAGAGGACAGGACATCTGTGCTCCTGAAGAGCAGAAACTGAACACCAGGCCTAAGAAACAGCCTAGACCACACTATTGCAGAGGAGGGAAGCCAAGGGCTGTACCTTGAGGAGCAGAAGGGAGCAGATTTTGGGATGGGGTGTGGGTTTAAGGTTTGGGATGGAATGGAAGGTGAAACCCTAGAATAATGACTATCACTAGAAAAGTTACAGTAGCAAACACTTGGGACTTCCTTTTATTGACATTCCCTAGGTGGTAGGGCCTCTGCAACAGAATCTTTAAATGAGTCCGCTGTGAACTCAGAACTTATCTCAGAGGTAGAGCGTTTGTCTAGCGCTCACAAAACTCTGGGTTCCATCCCCAGCTCCTCATAATTCCAGTAGTGTGGTGCACCACTGAAATCCTAGCACTTAGGTGGAGGCCTGAGAATCAAAAGCTCAAGGTTTATCCTTTGCTTTATGATGAGTTTGAGGCCAGCCTGGACTATTGAGACAGTCACTATCTAGAATAACAATGATAATTAGCCTGATCATCCGAAGCGGGTAGATATTAGCATTATCTCTGCTTTGAAACATGGTGGGAGGGGGGAGCAAACCTGTAGAAAAGTAAGACACTTGCCCAAGATCACACAGCTAAAGTCAGGCTTCCATTCGGGTCCACATCTACACTATTACCTGCAGTATTCGATGAACAAAGAACAGAGACAGTTATAACCAGAAGTGGCCGCCGGTATAAGAATGCTTAGCAAACTTCCAAGGTCGCTCTGGAAGCTGAGTCTGGTGTCTACACTTGTCAGTTCCTTTCCCCAAACCTCTGGCCAGAGCTAGATAGTACTTAACTGAAGATGTCAGGCTGAGAACTCTGGGCGGATGGTCAGGATATCTGCAAGGACATCTCACTGTGGGGAGATAAAAAGTGTGGTTCTTAACCATTGCTGTGAGTGGGAACTAAATGTGTTCTTCCAAACTGCTAGGATGGAAAAGCAGATAATGGCTTAGGGCAGGGCGTTGCTTTTGTGTCACCCAGGCAACAAGAGGTGTGACTGGAATGAGGCAGAAAAGAATTGCTTGACAGTCGTGGAAGCTGGAATTTTAAGCCCCATGTGTCATCGGGTCAGATGCTGATAATCTTTCTATTTGTTTGTAAATAACTGTGTATTCACCTGGCCCCTTCTCTGTTTGAACAGAGAGCAAGCTCTGGCCTCTTCCTCTCCTGAGGATGCCAATGGTATCTGTGAGTCCATCCTCATGGACTCATTTAATCCTGTTATCTCTTTGTGAGCACCATTGCTACATACAGCAGGGCTAGGGGTCCAACATGGTGGAGGGGGTGCAATTTAACGAGTCACATATTGTCCTCTCATTCCCAGAAGATCATGCTTTCACAAACAAACAAAAGAATGCAAAATGAACAAAAAAAACAAAAACAAAAACAAAAACACCCACTCACCCTCTCACAGCAGCCCTTAAAGTTCACACTGGTGTGGATTGCCAGTCCTAAATCTCATCTGAGTACCACCTCACTTAGGGATGCCTGAGATGGGTGTGGCTCATCCTTGAGCAAAACCCCTGCTGTGAGCCTATGAAAGCTGACAAGGTCTGATTTCCAAATGATAATATTTCAAAGGGAGTAGGTAATAAAAAAGAATGGGATGGCAGGTAACAAGGAGTCCAACCAACACTTTAGCCAAATTTATTATCTGCCCTCTAGGTCAGTAAGGGTGCAGGAGGAGGAGAGGACACCCTTGCCCTGGGTTTGTGGTGGGAGTAGAAGAAACCCTGATCAACTCTGAAAAGTCTTTAGGGTCATTCTTCCCTTTTTGTCAAGGAGAAGCAGGTGACAGCCTTCCTTCTTTTCCCAACTGTACTCCTAGGGTCCCTTCTGTATTCCCAGCTTCTACTAAACTGGCTGATTAACTATGTGTGTAATGGAAGTGGAAGGATTGTCCAGCCACAGTCTTTCAAACTCCCTCCACCATGCTCCTCATTATTTACAATGAATAAGCTGAGAATGGGCCAAATCAGCAAGCTCAGGTTCTGTTTACAATTCATATGTCTTGTTCTTGCCTCTAAATAAGCAACATGAAGAAATCAAGATGCTTTACCGAGGAACCTCCACAGCTAATTGCACACCTGCTGTTGGGTTGAATATAGCAAGTCATGTGTGTGGAAGGCCTGGTCCCCAGCTTCTGGCACCATCCAGAGGTGATTACATCATAGGGATGCTAACTTCATCAGTGGGTTAATCTTTCTGAATGGGCTACCAGGAGGGCCATCCTGCTTAGAGGAAGTAAGGCACTGGGGGCCTGTCTTTGAAGGCTATCTTCACCCCAACCTCTCTCTGTTCTCTGGCTATCAGGAGGTGATACCCTTAGTTCCAAACCCCCCACACACACACACTCCCACCATATTTCTGTCCTGCTATAGTTCTCAGTACCATGCAGCCAAGTGACCATGGAAAGAAACCATGAACCCAATAATGCTTTCCTCTTTTTAGTTGTTTATTTCAGGTATTTTGTCATAGCAACAAGTGACTAACATAGTATTCAAGTTTGTTGTTTGCAGTTTCTACTTTGCACAGAACACTAGAGCACAGTTTCTAACATGTTTCTGATTGCCAACATGGGTTCCTAAGACCTCCCCAGGACTGCCTTGGTTGGATGGATGGATGGATGAATGGATGGATGGATGGATGGATGGGAGGATGGGAGGATGGATGGACGAACATAGCAAAAGCTGGCTTTAAATTCATGTCTATCTTTCTGCCTCAGCCTTCTGAGTCCTGGGATTACAGGCATGACCCATCATCAAACCCTTGAATCACCACTAGTATTCATATTTGTATATTTCACAGTATAATGTTCACTCTGATGTAAAGCAGTGGTCCTCAACCTTCCCAATGCTGCAACCCTTTAATACGAGTTCCTCATGTTGTGGTGACCCCCAGCCATAAAATGATTTCATTGCTACCTCATAACTAATTTTGTTACTGTTATGAATCATAATATAAATATCTGATATGCAGGATATCTGATATGCAACCCCGTGAAAGGGTCATTCAACCTCCAAGTTGAGAACCACTTATAATATAAATATCTGGCATGCAAGAAATTCATCATGAGACCCCTGTTAAGGGGCCATTCCACCCCCAAGTTGAGAAATAGAAGCAGTCTCTGAGAATGAGATGCTCTCAACTCACTCTTTTCTGGCTGAGCCCTTGGTAGAATCACCTAATGTCTGTATTTGTGCATTCTTCAAGGCATTCTTGATGACTGTGTTCCTCAGAGCTCTGCTGCCTCTACCCATTCCTCACCTCCACACTGTTACAGGAAGCTCAGTTCATCAGCACCAAAATCTGTACTGTTTTGATAATAGTGCTATCCCAAAATAACAGATCAAAGAGCAGGTTGGTGCCTTGTGTCACACAATTTACTGTCTTGATCCGAGTGCCATGGAGGCTGGTTTCTGGTGAGAAAACTAACCACTCTCTACACACTCATGGTGGCATACACACACACATACACACACACTCACTCACACACACAAACACACACACACACACACAGAGAGAGAGAGAGCAGACAGACAGAATAATAAATTTTTAAAATGTCACTTCCTAAGAATTAAAAATTGATGCCTGGAGAGATGGCTCAGTGGTTAAGAGCACTGATTGCTCTTCCAGAGGACCCAGGTTCAATTTCCAGGATCCACAAGGCAGCTCATAGCTGTCTGTAATTCAGTCCCAGGGAACCCAACACTAATGCACATAAAATATAAACAAATAATTTAAAAAAGAATTAAAAATTGAGAGTAGGAGGAAAGGTTCACATGGTAAGCTGATACCAAGTCAACCAAGATTATATATGCTTGGGAGACTGAAGCCTAGAACAGTGTGACATCACTTTTTCTCTCCATTTGCAACATCGAAGGCAGTTCTCCCCACAGTACATTGGACATAGCATAAATTGAAGAATTTGAGTCACAAGACAGGCCTCAGAGTTTCCCTGGAGAACTTTCCCTGTGGTTTCTGAGGTCCATAAAATAAATGATTAAGCAAAGGAAAAAAAAAAAAAAAGCTTGCATTTGCAAAATAAGAAATGAGACGTTTTAGAAAACTAAAACCAAATGTATTAAGAAATACAAAAGAATAGATGAGAAATGTGGAGAAATACATAGTGTTCTTAGAAAGGAAAACTTCTTTTTCTTGAAGCAGTGTCTCATTAGCACAGGCTGGCCTTAAACTTCTGATCCTCAGCCATGTGCCTCGAAAGTGCACTAATTATAGGCATGCCCACTACTGGTTCATTTAGTGTTGGGGATCAAACCTAGACTTTTACATATGCTAGGCAAGCACTCTAGTGCCTAGTTTTCCCCTTAACTCTTTGTTATGAAAACTGTTTAAACAAGCAGAAAAACTGAAGAAAAATTTAACATCTGTAAGAGGCTTGGAAAGTGGCTAAGCGGGGGAAAAGCCTTTGCTCTGT